TCCATCCGATCTTGATCTCCCGTAATTGGCCCAACCTTCCCAGCTTAGGACCCCTCGTTGTCCTCACACAGAAAATCGCGCGGAACAGAAATCGGTTCATCACATACCAAATACACATAACCTGCAAACGTAACCCTAAGTTCCTAACAAAGCGCCCCACCCACTGACCTTGGAAAGTGGTGGGGTCCGACTTTTTCACCAAAATTACCTAACTTAGGCACTGTCAGATCAGAAGCTTAGGAAACGAGGTTTTAAAATCTGAAAATTTTGGGAAAGCTGGATATACTGAGCTTTATATAAGGACAAACAAGTAGCGTTGGACGTCAATCTGCTAAGAGCGGTGGACAAAGATCTTGGAAGAACGGACGACAGTAAACGAGAAAGAACGAACAACGTCACACACGTTGTACGGCGGTGCTAATGGGACCTGACCCCAGCAATAGCAAAACCGATGTCATTTTTCTTTTTCCAGAAGAGGTGTACAAAAAATTTCCCATAAAAGACGCTCGAAAAAGGAAAATGATGAATTTCAAAAAGGAATTACAAAATGTTTCCCATTTATATTGATATTGCGTGCATACCAAATCCCTCCCTCCATTCTGGCTTGCCTTTGTGCGAACGGCCTCCAGCGCTCATCGCATGCCTCCAGATAGCCGCCTCCGCTGTTTACCGCAAATCTGCTGAATCGAAAAAAAAAAGAAGAAAAAAAAGAACCACTGCAGCAATACGAGCCCCCTTTTCTCCGGAACTTGCGGCGGTCGTATGCCCAAAGGCTGAGCCCGCCAATGTTGGAGACTGGAGCGGTATCCCTCCGGCCCGGCAGTGAGGCCGGACCAGTTTCAGGCCGCCGGCCTGACCCTGTTCCGGTACCAGGTTATTCCGCTACTGGACCCAGGCCGGTATATCACTTCGGCCTAGGTCCAGGGCGGCAGGTTGATTCATTCAGTTGTTCGTTCATTCATTTGGTCGGACAGGGCCTCCACTCAGCTGCAGCTTCGTGTGTGTCCTTCTCCTCTCTCTCTCTCTCTCTCACCATCCCCCCACGTGCCCTCTGCACATGCGTTACATTGGTATTGGAGCGGAGATTCGAACCTCTGCTCCCTCCCTCCCTCCCTCTCTTGCTATCCTGCGCCAAGGATAGCTTTCTCCAAGCTTGTTTCACAGCTGCACCTGGCCCATCAACGCGACCAGGCACGTTCTTCACCCAAGCTGGCACCTTTCTCTTCGGCGACCTCCACGGCGGCGCTGCTCCAGCTGCTGCTGCCTCCTACAGACCGTGACGCCCATCTGCTGCCGCAGGTGAGGAAGGAGAAGTCGTCACAAGGTTTCCAGAGGCGAACCAGCAGGAGGACCATTGCCACCAGGACGGGTGACCCCCCTGCCACGTCAACCCGTCCTTTCCCCCCTCCTGTACCCCTCTCCACTGCGCCCCGAC